CCCCAGAGCAGCAACGGTGCATAGGTAAAGTAGAAACCAAGTCCTCCATGCATACAAACCACGAACACCAAGGGAGAAAATGTAAATTGAGAGACCCAACAGCATAAGAATTCAAGTGGACATGCAGGGCTAATTTTCCAAGGTAATACACATTTTGGTCATTAGGTGGTGCAATTCCTAACATTGTTGCCTAAGTTGCAGACGTCAACCATAATACCCTTCAAACTCCAAAGGCTATCCTTAGACAATAGTAAAAGAAATATCATAATGCAAGTACTAAGTTTGTTGATAGACATTATGTCATCTCAGTGAATGTTCTTGGTGAAAAAAGAAAATGTAGGAAGTAAACAGCAGTGTATGAAAATTAGGCCGCCTAGGCTGCCAGGAGGCCTCACCAAAGCAAACTGGCCCAGGCGGGCTGCCCAATGAAAATTTTGATTCTTTGAATGACTGAAATAGTGAACAACATAAACAAGTCCATAGCGTATAGGTGTCCATATGGTCTAAGAAGGGTGAGGACCTTAAACTTTCCCCTAGCCCATCCCATGCCTGTTAAAGGGGCTGGGTTGTTTTAAGTAGGCAGCCAACATACAGCTTTGTCAAAACTTATCATGAGAACCTACAAATGATGACTACACAGCAGGATAGTCCATACTTCATAGTTGATAGTTCATACAATCATCATACACATAGCACCCTAAAAATGATTCGAATAAGATAGGGTAAGCTTTCAGATGATTCTTCAAACTTTACAATTTTTTCTGAATTAGAAATCTTGCAAAAACAATTATTTGGGTGTTTTTAGGGTTTAGAATTGAGTTTTTAACTTTTGGGGTTTAGAATACCATCAAAACACCCTTTTCCCCCTTTTTTATGGGTCATGAATACCTTCCCTCACAGCAATTTTTTTCCCATCAAAAAAGGCCTAGTTCCTGGGCGCTGGGCCCACCTAGGCAAGGGCCCAAAGATACCCATCTAAAAAGGCCTAGTTCCTAGGCGCTGGGGCCCACCTAGGCAAGGGCCCAAAGATACCCATCTTGGCCTGGCAAGGTGACCTGGGGTCCCTTCGGCGCCTAGTGACTGGGAGGGCCATTTTCTTAAATTATGGGTTACATCAAAGTTACATACTACAGATTGACCTCATGAGAGGTTTGAACATGAGTGTGTAGGAATGAGAAACAAAATCAGCTTTAATTTGTGTAGTAGGATTAATTTCAGCAATAAATGATCATCGGTAATCCAAGACAGAGATTCAAGTGTGGAAACTATAAACATAAATTGATATATGATTTATAGTGTGATGAAAGAAAATTTGTTTGAGTTGTGGAGGAGCACAGACAAGAAGCATCCAAATGGTTAAGATGTCGGGTCTAATTAATAGGTAGAACATGACCTTATAAGCGACGAGGGTTATCTAGTATGATGAAAGTAAGTTGGAAATTCATAAGAACAGGCTACAGATATAGATGCTGATAGAGGGCAGATGACGGTGTGAGAATGGAAGAGATGGAAGAGGCAGAAATATGGGGAAAAAAAATATATTGGAGTGAGAGCGCCCTCCCTATTTTCTTTAAAACTAGAGAGGACGAATGCAACATCAAACTATCAAGCGGCATTCCTGTCTATCTGGTTTGTTTTTAGATGAGAATGTAAGCCTCCCAACGCATGCATATAGTCTCATTCAACTGTTCAATTCGAATTAATCTCAATTGATTTCTTCCATCTCATTCCTCTTGCATTCATTCTTTTTTGAATCTCTTCCATTAAATGACTATTCATTCGTAATATGAAGGAAGGGGGCATGCACTTTGTTCTGCTTTAAGGACAGGAGCATCTCATCTACCTATTTGTTTGTACTTCACTCTTTCAGTTACGAATTCCGCACATAAGCAATTATAACGGTAACTGCATATGCATCTCTCATATATGTATTGATAAGGAAGGAGGATTTGAAATACGAGATCGAAAAACATATCTCTTTGTGGCGCCATGCAATACATCATTTGGACAAAAGGATAGATCTATACCTCATACTATAGAGGCGCACCAGCACTTAGATTAGGACCTCAATAAGGTGTAAAATCTGACTACATGAACTAAATACAGACAGGTGTATATGCATGAGTTTGATTGGTCAGCAATCAACCTTGGACTTGATTGGTTAGTTCATAGTCCATAGTAATGATAGCCACAACATAATGTCCCAAGTTTGATTCCTATGCTGAATACCGAGAAAAAAAGCACAAGCAAGTTGCTAAAATATATTCATAAGAAAACCAACAAAATGCTCTGCAATCAAGTTCTGCTTATACTGTTCTCTCTAATATTAAACTCAAAGGATAAGCTACAGGCAGTTGCAGATCTATGGTTCAAGAAAGGAGTCACTCTTTCAGTTACGAATTCCGCGTACAAGCAAGTACAACCATAACCACATATGCATCATATCATATATGTATTGATAAGGAAGGAGGATTTGCAATGCAAGATAGAAAAACATCTCTCCATGGCACCTGTGCATACTACTCCATGGTTCGGGTCCTTGAAAAAAATTAATCAGAGATTCATTTAATCGAAAATAGTATACATGCAATACATCAGTTGGACAAAAGGGTAGATCTATGCCTCATACTATAGAGGCGCACCAGCACTAAGATTAGGACCCTCAATAAGGTGTAAAATCTGACTACCTGAAGTAAATACAAACAGATGTATATGCATGAGTTCGATTGGTCAGCAATGAAGCTTGGACTTGATTGGTTAGTTCATAGAAATGATGACCACAACATAATGTCTTTAATTCCTATGCTAAATTACCCAGAAAAAAAGGGCAAGAAAGTTGCTAAAATATATTCATAAGAAAAGCAACTAAATGTTCTGCAATCAAAATACAGACAGGTGTATATGCATGAGTTCGATTGGTCAGCAATCAAGCTTGGACTTGATTGGTTACGTCATAATAATGATGACCACAACATAATGTCCCAAGTTTGATTCCTATGCTAAATTACCCAGAAAAAAAAAGCACAAGAAAGTTGCTAAAATATATTCATAAGAAAACCAACTAAATGTTCTGCAACCAAGTTCTGTTTGTACTGTTCTCTCTAATATTAAACTCACACAATAACCTACAGGCAGTTGCAGATAGGAATGAAAATTGGAGTGTGTCAGAAGCTAAGACTAGAAGCAGCGTTGCTTGCTGATTGAAGGATCATGAATTTGGTAGGAACAATCAGCATCGCGAATTTGGTAGGAACAATTGGTAATAAAAAAAATTTACCATTTTATTAGTAATGAATTTTAAAAATTTGTTCGAGTTTTCTTGTCTGGGATAAAAAGGAAAAAGTTATGAATACAACGGACATTGGAGAAAGAGATGGATGAAATGAAGAAGAATGGTAACAAGGAAACCACAGATCAAAAGAAGTCGACAGGTTAGGAAAACGAAGGAGTTAGTGGCAGTGAAAAGTAGCTGGGGCAAAGAAAAAGAAGAACATGTCACAGTTGCAAAGGTGAGGTGTATGATAAGAGGAATATTAGAAGAAGTGGGAGCACATGCCACATAGCAAAGAAAGCTAAGAATACAGAACAAAGGAGATGGGGTCATGATTAGAAACACTGATAAATAGCAGCAAACATGTATATGTATCTGGCTAAATTGGACTCATAGCAACTAATGAATTTTAAGCAGTTGGATCTGGAGAAAACCCTATGATTCAGTCTCAAAACTTAACATTCAATAATGGAATACAGTAGGGATAATCATGATCATATATAGCTTAAAAACAACAACCTAAGATGATCCCTCTATGGCAGTAGTAAATACATTTTTATAACAGAATCATATAAGGTGGTCATAAAATGCGTATACAGCCACTTCAGGCATGAAACAAACAGAAGAATTCATAACACTGGACTGAAAAACATCTCACATGGAGTATTGAATCCATGATAAATGTGATATCACGTTAACTCTCCAGAGAAATCTAACCAAAATTCTCCCATCATGTAACATAAGCCTTCTGTGCCTCCAAAATGTCCTTTCTTTCATAATTTGTTGAACATAACTTTGACCTTAATGATTAGCACCAGTGTCTAAAAAAGAGGATCAGTGGGGTGAACTAGTCACCCACTGATGCCGAGTCTGACTAGCCAACTTGGTGGGTCAGCTCGGCTGACTCGGCAATTACAAAAAAAATAATTACATAAATACAAAGCTTAATTTTATTGAGTTTTGGTTGTTTAAAAAGTTTAAACAAGGTTTAGGATTCTCAAATCAATATAAAAACAAAGTTTTTATACCTTTAAAACACAATAAAACATCATTTAGGGTGAATTGGTCCGAATCCCTTACTCATGAGGGACTTGGACCAGTCACCCACCGGTTCAAATTTGAACCTGGAAAATCGGCCGCTCCGGTCTGATTTGTAAACACTGAATAGCACAGTTAGTAGATAGCAGAAACTTCTTTATTAAAGGACAGGAAACTACAAGTTATTTCTCCATTAGTTTCCCATGACATACACTTAACTAAAATTCCATCAAGAAAATACTTTGAATTTTATCAAGAAATTGTAATTAATATGAAACACAAAAAGTCCTGCAACAGAAAGCACTGAATGATAATATGTGGAAAGCATTAGACCCTTTGAGACAAAACAATCTGATAAACTAAGTACTCATGCCCAGCTAAAGCAAAGTAGATAGATACAAAAGCACATAGTGGTGAGAAGTACAACAAAAATGACCAACAAGGTCGCACAAACGAGTCAAACACCTCCAGAAAAAGAATATGGAGACTGAGAATATGTAATAGTTTTTTGTTTAATGACTTATCCATCTATGAAATATTCAACTTGCCTTGAGTAGCTTATGAACGCACGCTACCTTACATGCTTTATGTGTCCCCTTATATAACCTAATAGGAAAACAAAATCTCTTCAACAACCATAAAGAAGCCTTAACTTACAAATACTATATTAGAATCTAGTGAATACACAAACCTGACCATCTGCAGCACAAGTTATTACGCTACGATCATCTGTGAAAGGCATGATCCTGGCCTGAAAGACATTGTCTGAGTGGCCAGAAGGATACGAAAACCTTTTGGCTTTAGCTGCCCACTCCCAGAATATAACCTGCCTGTCATCAGATCCGGTTACAAGAAGGTCACCAGTAGGATTAAACTGTACTGTATTTACACAACCATCGTGTCCATCCAGCTTTGCATACAAACTCATCCGTTTTATGATGCCCTGAAATGACAAAGGCAAACTTAGTGAATGATAAACACATAGCAAGTACTAATAAGGTTTAGGTACAATAGTTGAACTATGGTTTCACAGCTCGCTCCATGACATCCAGTTCTCCAATTTCTTTTAACCTGAAAACAGTCACCATCTAAACCATCGCGTCCCAGGCTCCAATCTACAGCCTTAAAAAATTATGCAAGCTATGAAATAATTACCAAATGGAGAGAACCTTCCCTGTAGCCTCTAATTTGTAGCCTGCCCTAGGATAGTTGCGATGGCGATGAAGCATAAATAAGGAAATCCCCATGTGCCAAGAAAGAAGAGTTCATTAAGTGCTGTTTAAGAAATTTTGTTTTTGATAAAAATGTTTAAGAAAGTTACTCTCGTTAGTTGTTACATATTGCCATGACTGATTCAATCAAGACTGTTTGACCAGAGCAAAAACAACAACTGAACTTCCCTAAAAACAAAAACGGCTACCAAGCTACATTATCAGATGACAACAGCCAAATCAAAGTCTAAACATAGTCATCAGTCATCCTTAACTTAGACCCCATGACTAGATAGATCCTCATACTGGCTCACCCAAAAGAAAGTAAAGCATGCACAGTGCAAATACAAGAAATTATACAAGAAGTGGCGGACAAATCAAGTCGGGAGCGACATGATGAAACCGAACAGACCATCTCAATCCTCAAAAGAGAGACCCAGAAAAATAAACAAGTGAAACAACTGCATTACAATTTGCATAGTGAATCCAAAAGAAATTAAAAAAGGGGAAGTCTTGACCAGCAAAGGGAGATGATAATAACCTCAGAACCACCAATTCGGCGCGCAAATTTTCGAGGGTCAAGTAAACCAAGCTGCCTCCTCCATATGCCCTCTACCCCAATTGTATGAGCCTCTGATCCACACTCCATTGCCATCAAAATCAATTCAAATCCCTATCATACACAAAACTATAATTGCATCGCAGGAGTTTCGAATATGTAACAACCAACCGACTAACGAGAGAGAGAGTCTCCGTGTGTTTTTGAAAGAAAAGCTTCCAATATGAGCAGAAGCCAATACAGATGCCAATTCCAATTCCGATGCCAATGCCTTTATTTACAACTATTGTGGCTTGCAGCACTGCAGTCGTGACACGTGTAACACGTGGGGCCGCTTCCTTTGACTGGACGGTACCGATTTACTCCTGCGGCGTTCGGGCAAGTTTTGTCCATTGAGTTTGAAAACTCTTCTATTATTCGAGTATAAAGTGTTTATATGCAAGAGGCAACCACCGTCTCTCGAGTTACCGACAATGGCTGATATGCACTTGGCATCTGGCGCTACCCTATCATGAAATTTGTCAAAGGATAAGGTACCAACTATCAATTATTTAAGGACACGGCTTCTATGCGACCAGCCCGCATATTGTAGAAATGCGGGCTTGGCCATAATTCTATTTTTTAAATATAATTTGGTCTTAATTTTTAGAGAATATATAATTTTTAACATTGAGATCATGAATATAAAAATATAAAAAAATTAAAATTAAAATAATAATTATATTAAGAAAACATTTGGACCCTTAGTTACACTTGTTTTTAGATGGACCACCTATCTGTATCCATCTTTAAGATGGATGCTTTATGCCTCGGACCGCATATTGTAGAAATGCGGTCCAGCCTGCATGAAACAACTTTCTATCAAACTAGGGTGCACCTCCAAACTTTGTCATGAGATGTAAATTTGGTGTTGAAAATTCTTAGGATTGTGTGAGAATCTATTTTTTTTATCTCTAATTATAAAATTTTAACTCTAAAAATTGTTTAAATCAAACAGATTTTATAAATGCATGAAAATCTTGGTCCACATAATGGGTTGCAAGATGTACTTTTTTTAAGACTTATATCTATTTTTCTTCATATCTATACATGTCAATGTGTCCAGATGATCAATTAGATATTTTTCCAACATCAAAACAACCTTTTTTCGAAGGACTTTAGAGGTGTACATTAATTCTACATTTTAAGGTATCAACTTATATAAACTTTTTCTATTTAATATTAGGTGTGATTTGTATAAGGTGTCAACCTTAAACAATCCAAGTAAGGCGTACCTCCAAAGCTCATCGAAGGATACAATTTTAGAGTCGGAAATTTCAATAATGACTTGAAAAAGTACTTCACATCTAATTATAAAATTTAAAACTCAAAAAATAGTATAGATCAAGAAGATCTACAAATACATGAAAATCTTGAAAATAGATGGTCTAGATAATGTATTACAAGATGTATCATTTTTGTGACTTTAAATTTTTATTTTTTTCCACGTCCGAATATTTCGAGGTCGAAATGGACGGTTAGAGGATCTTTCAACATCAGAATAACATCTTTTTATGAATTTTTTAAGTTTGCCTTTCTTCTATAGTATAAGGTTACAACCTTATATAAACTTTTTCTTTTAATATTTGGAAAATGTTATATAACGGTGAGGCCTTAAACAATCAAATTAAGGTGCACCTCAAAAATTCACTAGAAGATGTTGTTTCGATATTGAAAAACCCTCAATTCGATCATATGTGCCTAAGAAAAAGTAGATTTCAAATTTTAAAAATAGTGTATCTAGTAATGTATTATCTAACCGTCAATGTTCAATATTTTCTAGTGTTCATAGATTTGCTTAATTCACACTATTTTTCAATCTTTAAATTTTATAATTAGAGATGAAAATAAACTTTCATGCCTCATAAAGACTTTTGTTAGTGAAACAACATATTTCGGCATTATTTGAAGATGCGCCTTATTTTGATTGTTTAGGGCATTAGCCTTATATAAACCACACGCTTAATATTTTATTTTATGTTTCTTTAATTCTAAAATGCCCTTCAATATTTGTATGGCCATGAGCTGGAATAGTTGGAAAAAGGATAAATTGTTCTTGCTAAAAAGTTAAGTATATTTTGATACATTTCCCATTATAGCATTATTATATAGTAGTAGTGATGTATATTATTGTATAGACACTCAAAAAATATTATTATATAGTAGTGAAGTATTGAACTTGCAATGTACTTGCATCCATTAAAAAAAAAAAACTTGCAATGCACTAGCATCAACACAGACACATATGAGACGGGGAGAAGGTGAGATGTCTAACCATTAAGGCATGAACAGGAATGTAGAAATGGGTTGGGCGAGATATTAGATCTGGACCCACGTGATGGACCAAACGGGTTGGATCTGGATCCCCTTGACAATGGAGCCGACTCAAATCGGGACCCAAGTAGGAGGATCCTCTTGTTTAAAGTCAAATTTATAAGTCAATTTAATTCAAAGTCATGTTAAGTTTAAAGGCAATTTATAAGTATCTGATGGTCATAGGGTTTGGGTGTCTTATTGTACCAAAAAATAATAGTCTCCCATCCGGGCCGGAGTCCTCAGGAAACTAGTAAATAGTCTCCCATCCGGCCCGAGGTTGAAGGATCGATGTGCCATATAGGACCTCACAAATAAAGATTTAGAGCTTTTAGAGCCTCTGTGATAGTGAACTACCATATGGACAGCTAACAAGGAAGATAAAGAGCTACCATATGGACAGCTAACAAGGAAGATAAAGTGGAACGTGAGCCAGATGGGTTCTAGAGGTCACTGAACCAACCCTGGGTTCAATTTAAGGAGTACCAAGATGTCATCCAAAAATCAAGGTATTACTTGGATGTACAGGATAACGTTAGCTCACTAGTTAATGCTGCAATGTTAGTCCAACGGTCCAGATTAAATCTAAAAAAATCAAATTGTCACTGGTGCATTTCATATTTGAATTTTAATTTTTTTTACACAAATCCAAATCACTTGAAATTTTGAGTGTATACTCTCTAAAAATAGAAAAATCAAATAAAAACATCAAAAAAATAATTCACAAAAATAATATTAACTAAAATAGCCCAAAAATTTTCAGGGGTATTTTGGTCAATTCATTTATTGTGGATTATTTTTAAATATATTTATTAGGTGCATTTTAATGAGAAGAATGTATGCCTACAATTTTATGTGATTTAGATTTGTAGAAAAATATTTCTATAAATTATTTTTAAATATTTTTATTAGATTTGCATATTTTTTAAGAATAAATGCTCAAAATTTCAAATGCATTGGCTTTGTGAAAAAAAAAAAAAAGTAAAATTCAAATACGAAATAAAATCTTAACCATTGGATAGTCCCAGATTCAATCTAGGCCATTGAGCGTTTACTGTAGCTGTCCGCTAACAGGCTGCTGCCATGTGTGTGTGTGTGTGTGTCACGATTCTATTTCAAATTTTAATTTTAATTTTTTATACAAATCCAAATCACTTAAAACTGTGAACATCTTTCTTTATTAAAGGAAAATTGTGAGCTTCTACATTTTAAGGTTGCAACCTTAAAAAATCCATCAGAAAAGGTCATTTTAATATTGAAAAGCCCTCTAATTGATCATCTCAACGTCGAAATGTATAAATATGAAAAATAAAAAGATTTTGAGTCACAGAAATAATGCATCTTCAAGATTGTCATATGTTTATAGATCTACTTGATTTTAACTATTTTTAGAGTTTAAAATTTTTATAATTAGATATGCAAATTTATTTTCAAATAATCCTAAGAATTTTTTAAACCAAAATTACATGTTATGATAAAATTTGAAGGTGCGCCTTAATTGAATTGTTTAAGGTTGCAACCTTATGGAAACCACACCCTTCCTTAAAAAGTATGAGAGTCTAATAAAAATATTAAAAACATAATTTGTAAAAATTAAATTAACGAAAATACCTCTAAAAGTTTAATGGATATTATGATCAATATATTATTTGTAAGTTTTAATATTTTTATTTAGTGCACATTGATGAGAAGAATAGACGCTTGACATTTCATAAGATTTAGATTTGTAAATAAAATATTAAAATTAT